TGTTGACCAACCAAATAATGAAGGGAAAACAGGTAATTCAATACTCCCAATTAAAACGAAATATTTTGAATGTTTTATTGAATATTTGTGAATGTATATTATTGAATGAAGTGTGGGCACAGTGGCTACTACGACTACTGCGGCACTATTCGATCAACTGAGCTAAGCTGCACAAGCTTTGGTCAGGAGATAAATGGGTGACCGTTTAGAACATCGTATGTAGTCGTAAAATACTGTGTCAACCGTGTCTGTGTACAACAAAGGTATGGATTTCAGCACAGACACGTAAAATTGAAATCCAACGCCATATAGAATATGGCAAAATCATAAGAAATACAAGGATACAATCGGCTGATCACCGATTCATCTGAATTAATTGATCAACAGAAACCAGAAAGATAAGAATTCTTATCTCAAGGCCCTATGCTCCACTAGGAGTTAAAGGAAATAAAAAAAAAAAAAAAAATATTATTGAATGAATATTTATGAATGTTGAATCTTATTACTTTTCATACATTTCAATAGCATTGGACCTTGCCGTTAAAGCAGGTATTTCATCATTTTCTTTATAATGAATTGAAGAGGTACATGATTTGTCGAATGTCCTTTTTCAGGACGTGAAGAGATTGTCAAATTATTAATAGATGGAGGGGCACAAAGATTGGCAAATGGTGAAATGGGTGACATTACTGCTAATTTAAGAAGTATGAAAGGTAATTTAGCCTAATTGATTTGATCGTATGGCTTTTCAATCGACAAAAGACTGAAATGATTTATATTATGAGAATTGTTTGTCAATTAGCTCCCGCCAATCTTATCTGGAAAAACAATGGAATTGCAGCGTATAGCAATATTGCTTTACTCTTTACTTCAGTATTTTGTTCATTCGTCCTTCAATTTTAATGAAGTTGATTTTCAGAGAGCGGTTCAAGAAAAGCGGATTGGAAATAGAGATTTAAAAAAAAATCCTCAGCAGATGGACTGTTGATTTAGTTTAAAAAAAGAAAATATATAAATATTGTCAATCAATTGTATTATTTTTAAATCATTAGCTGTTTCATTTAAATAAAACATGTTTGTTTGTTTGTTTTTATGATAAGCACAAAGAAAGACTAATTTCGATTGCAATTATATTGCGTTCGATTCATTTTTTTGAAGTTTTTTCCGAGTTTTCGACATGTGTCGGTGGTTTTTCTGGATTCAAACCACATTTGCGCATCTCCACTGCCATGCCGAATAAGTAATCATAACATTCGCATCTAAAATCGATATAGAGCATATTGATATTTGTAATGAAAAATAATTGAATCGAGTGTCTGTGCAGTGCTTACTGTGTTTTAGCTTTTTGCCATGTCTCGCCCCAAACATAGATTCCATGTCGACGAACTAAAATTGCTGTTGATCCGGGATACTCTTGCATTGTTGAATTCATGCGATCTTCCAGATCCTTTTCGAATGGAGTGTTTTCAATGATCGGCACCACCAATTCTTCGTCGTAGCGTAAATAACGGCCCAATTTATGATCATATACACCCTATTCATGTAATTTTATGTTATTATGATTATTACCAGCAACTATGACTAGCGTTCAGTGTTGAATGATTCCAAATGAATTTACCTTAATCATTTCGAGATAAGTGCACCGGAACTCTTTGCCCGGCCAAAGAAGAGTTGCCATTACAGCGTTTGGAGAATGTGTGTGAATGACGGCGCCAGCGTGACGTTGACGATATGGCAACATAAATAATGGCGTGCATTGGCTCTTCTTCAATCTATAAACACGAGTAAAATTGAAATATTTAAAAATAAAAAAAAATTGATGTTAATACATACTTTTTGTATTCCGGTGGCACTTGAATATCTTCACCTTCGATATTTTGTATGAATAAATCATCCGGTAAAATGCGTTCTTTCTGCACACCCGATGGAGCAATGTAGATTTCGTCGCTGCAATATGCAATGATTCAAAGATTTACAAACAATTACTTAATAAAAGTCACAAAAAGTAAATTCAATGAAATTTTAATGAGTACAATTTTCATTGCATAATATAAAATCTTTGATGATATTTTTATTATTATTTAGCTAAATTTAATTAGTATTTTCAATGTTGTGATAGATGTTTAATAATGGCGCTGTCACCAATCAATGGCAACAATCAAATCACAGCGCAAAGTTTTGAGATGGTGGTTGCGCTGAACCGGCAGAACTGGTATTTATTTATTCTAAATTAAATGGCTTCGTGGAAAAGTTTTCGTAACGTTGTTTAGAGTGGTGGAGTAAGTGCACTTGGAAATTGCAATATATTGCATGGTTGTGACAACAAAGACAATACAAACCACTCAACCCAGAAAATACAAAATGAAAAGCACGTTGAGACTGTCGAATGATGCCTTTGTGAACGCAAGACGGATAGATGGCAAACTTTTTTAATTATATGTTTGGTATTATTTCACTTGACTTTGGCTTACATAAAGCGAATGATACATTTTCATATTTCATATGGTTGTTCACCACACCTTTCGAACAATGATTTGCTTGTTCCAGGATATTTTTCAAAGTGTTTGTAAAATACAATGTACTCCACTTTGAAAGACAAATAAAATTCCACAAAAAATAATATAAGGTACAATTCATAGTGGAACTTTTAATCAAAAGATCAAAATCAAAAACCGATTTAACCGAATAAAAACGTTATCAACGATTGATAAGTTATTTAATCTGTTCGCAATAATTTCAAACGCAAGCACTTTTATATTAATTAATAGTTGTAAGCATTTTTTCCCGCATTTTTTTCATGCCTCCAAATGAATTTGTTAAACTATAGAAAATATGAAATGATGTGACAAAGATTGCAATGATACCATAAAAAAAGAAATATTGAGTGTATACTATAAATAACCTTTAATATACTCGTAACATGTGAGAATCATGTATTTTTTGGACTTACTCAAGTTTGATTGAGATTCCACCGCCCGTTCCAGTTACCCATCCCATATGATAGAATTGTTTGCATAGTTCAGGAATTAGTTTCCGTGGATGTTCCTTCATTGAAATGTAAAAAAAATTATTCAAATTTTAATTATGCTTAAAAAATTGTAAGTGAAATTTTAAACTTGGAATAAAATTAACCAAAAAAATTGTCTATATCGTCTAAATTTTGTTTGGCAAAGAAAAATGTTAAAATAATAAATATTTCAAAAAAAAAAATCCACACCTCAGTTAAATCCTGATAAATTGACATGTTTGTGTACTGAAATATTATCCGTTGTGAACTGATCAAATAGTGAGCAAAGACTGACGAGACTTCACTATGTTATCGCTGTGCTATCAGTCAACAAAGTGGCAAGATAAGAGTGATGCAATTAAAATTGCAGTTCATCTATAACATATAAGCTACCGATACCAGAGTATATGGATTTAAGCTTCTGAATATTTTCCACTTCTCAACTTTCAGCACTAAACGTAAAAACAATACATCCGGTAAAAACAATACCGGTATTTTAAATGCGTAGTTTTATCTTATTTAGCTTATAAAACGATATTCGTAAAAAAAGACGGACAATTTTTTTCTGTCAAAATCAGCGACGCAAGAAACCGCGAATACCATACATTTAGTTGAAAACCGAATATTTACCGACTGTCTTAAATTCCAAAACAAATACATAAATACGAATGAACGATAACAAACGACCAGTTGTATTTATTGTACAACTGTCAAACTTGATGTCAAAACATGTGTTCGATTTTGACAGTTGCCAATTTTTCCATAATATTTCCCATTATATATTCGTGAAGCAAGTCTGTTTCACGCAGAGAAAAAAATAACATAAAAAACAAATTAGTTTCTGAATTAAAGTGTAACCTAAAGTGATCTATGTAAATTGATTTGGTCTCGACGCATGAATATTTCATAATTTTCCATCAATTGTAGCGTGAAAAAAAGTGTAATTGTGTTCATTGACACTTGATAAAATAAATAGTAAATGGACTGGAACTGAATTGAATTAATAAAACATGTTGCTGACGAGACTTGTGAAGACAACATTATCCAATAGATTATTTTCGAATGTGCGACTTTCAATCGGTAATATTGAAAACGATAACGCGTTGCTCAAAAAAATCATCTCAATTTGATTCATTCACAGGCCATCAAAAATGCATAAGTTTGAGAAACTTTTCATCATCAATCTCACGGTCGGAAAAATTGTACACCGAACATCTGGAAAGTTTACACCGTGATGGTGTTCGATTTGGACAACCCACTCAATTCAGTCATCCGCATCTTATCAATGCAAATGAACTTGCAATTGGTCTGTTACCGAGTGAGTTCAGCAAACGAAGGCACAAATTAATGGAGAAAATCAAGGAGCATTGTATTAAACATAACAAACCTAGTCGCAATATTGTAATTTCCATCGACGTGAAAAATTCCATTCAAAATATTGAAATATTGTGTTCTTTTTTTTTGCTAGGTGATAGTGCCCGCAACTACAAAAAAGTACATGACCGGAGAAATTCCCTATTTCTTCCGTCAGAACACGGATTTCTTTTATTTGACCGGCTGCTTAGAGCCTGATAGTGTTTTGGTTTTATGGACAAATGATGAAGGTCATTCAAAGTCAGCTCTATTTATGCGACCCAAAAATAAGCACGATGAACTTTGGGACGGGCCAAGAACTGGCGTTGACCACTCTGTCAACTTTTTTGGAGTTGACGAAGCATATTCGTTGGGAAATTTAGTGAAATTCGTTGAACAATATGTGTCACAAACGACACCATCGGTCAATGTTTGGTACGAAAATAATGACCAAGTTCAACCAAAATTATACGCAAATCTAAGGCCCGCTTTGTCGACGACAACACTATTCCAATCACCCATTGAATTTCTACATGAACTTAGACTCATTAAATCACCGGCCGAAACGGAGTTGATGAGAAAAACATGCCAAATTGGTTCTAAAGCGATTAATCTGACAATGAAAGAATCAAAACCAGGTGTGTTTGTCCACTCCAAGAAGACTTTTCAACTTTTCTTTAACTGTTTTGGATGTCTTTTACAGGTGACTCGGAGCATCATATTCAGACCAGAGTCGATTTTCACTGCCGAATGAATAATGCACAATTTTTAGCCTACCCACCAGTTGTAGCGGGAGGAAATAATGCCAACGTAATTCACTATATAAATAACACACAAGTGGTGAACGACGGGGAACTTGTTTTAATGGATGCAGGTTTGTTTTCACGATTTTTTGTCATTATGTTTAAATTCCTACTACAACTGACCAATATTTCGGGTTAAATGTCCCTGATTCTTAATTGGTATGTGAAAAAATCGTACTCACGTTAAAAAGTGTATCGTATTGCATTTTGATGTCGATTCACCACCTACTTTTCCTTTCAACCAAAAATGCTTATGCTTTCCTCGCTCCTCAAGCAAAACTGAAATTAATCGAAAATTGAATGATGAGCAACAAAGAATACGAACTATATTCCGATAGAAAAATCTGATGTAAGTTATTCATCGAAGCATAAGACGTCAGAGTGTTGACAATATTATATCAATAATTATTGAAAGTAAAATGATTCAATTGTTGTTTGTATTTTGTTTTCTTTGAATTTAATAATAGAATTCATAAAATATTTAAAAAATATCTCACGCAACTTATTTCGTTCATAGGATGTGAATACGGGGCTTACAGTAGTGATATCACACGAACGTGGCCCATTAATGGAAAATTTACACCGGCCCAAGAAGTACTTTATGAAATTGTGTATGCAGTACAAACTGAACTATTGACAGCGCTATCGACGGTTGAAAAAATCACATTGGATGAACTGTTTAATTTAATGTGTTATCGCTTAGGTATTTATCTGCAAGAAGTTGGCTTGATTGACAAATCGTTGAATCAGTTAGAAGCGGCAAGGGATGCTTTTAAATACTGTCCACATCATGTATCACATTACGTAGGCATGGATATTCATGATACAGCTTTCATTAAACGTGATCGAATTCTTCAACCCGGAATGGTGTTTGCGGTCGAACCAGGTATTTTCTTTTAAACGAAGAAAAAGCAACAACATATTCTCGAATATCTTCTAATTTTTCAATTTAGGAGTATACTTTCCGGCCGACTGTCAGGATATTCCGCAAGAGTTTCGAGGAATTGGTATTCGAATTGAAGACGATGTTCTTTACACAGACAACGGTGTTGAAATATTGACAAAGGATTGCATTAAAGAAATCAACGAATTGAAAAAACTACTTTCGAATTGATTGTAGCATATTCACGATTTATTTTTACATAATTGACATGTTCTGCGAACACATTTTGTAAATTAATTAAATAAATAGTTTAAAAAAACCAACTGAAATATTGTGTGATAGAAAATGTCCCATTGTCAAAATGTAAGGCTTAGTTCACATTAATGGCGTTTGACATTTGACATTTGCATGTCGTAAAAATGTTCTTTTGCCGCTTAAACAGTATAGACCCGATACGTAATTAGTTTCATTGTGATTTTAAATTATTTGAAGCGACAGCATGGCTTCATTATTGAAATTGTTTTCGCCAAATGTTTTGTTAACTGCAAGTCGTGGCTTTGTTGCACAAAACCCAGGGTATATTTGAATTTATTGAAATATCAAAAGAAATATTGAGAAGCAGCCATTTGAGGTTATATTTATTATTATTTGTTTTTTTTTTCTTGTAGTTTTGCAACCACCCAGATAGCATTTTTTTCACAGTACAGTCAAATTGTGCAAAAACTGGGCATACCAGATAAGCCGAAGCAACCGCGAACTGCTTTTATTCATTATTTAGATGATGTTAGAGCCTCTATCAAATTCAAAAAACCGAAGGATCTTTTCGTTCAAGCGGGTGTACAATGGAATCAATTGACCACTGAGGAAAAGGAAAAGTACTACACAGAATTCAAAAAGGAATCTGTAAGTTATACTAATTGAGCTAAACTTTGATGATTCAAGTCAATATCGATAAAATTTGATGAAATTTCTAGGCCGAGTATCGTCAGCTCTACGACGAATATAAAAAGAACCTAACGCCGGAACAAGAGAAAGCTATAAAAACAGAGCGAAAATTATTGAAAGACAAACGAGCACATGCGACTGCAAAGAAAACGTTGAAAACCGAACTCCAGGCATTGGGCAAACCAAAAAAGCCAATGTCTGCTTACGCATGTTTTGTCAAAGACAAGTGTACCGATAGTCATTTGCGAGCTTCCGATGTTAAAAATGAATGGGAGCAATTGAGCGATGAACAAAAACAAGTCTACAAAAATAAATACATACAACTAAGAGATACTCATCAGTAATTATCTATAGAAATGATATTTTCCACCAAACATTTTCTTTAACATTTTGAATTTTTGACAGGGCTGAGCTAAAGATATGGGAAGATAAGATGTTGTTGGAGGATAAAGGCCATTTGGTACGAAAGAAACGATTTGTGGTAAAAAACGGAAAGGGTGTAGTAGCACGAAAGCCACGCGGCAAGGACAATAAACAAAAGGCCGAATAGGAAATCGCGTGTTCTCAATTCAAAAATGATGACCAGCATTACAATCAAATCGAACATTCTGTATCAATCGACCAACATTCGAGTGGAGATGCAAGTACATCAAAACACACTGAACAACAAACAAACTCTCCAAAGACTAGCCCTGAAATAGGTATTTTTAACAAAATAAGTAGTATTTGGACGAATAGGAATGAGAACACCGCCTCGGACAAACCACAACAATATAAAAACAAACCGGATTTAGTTAAGAGCATCAAGAAATTGTTTAAAACTTAGATTAATACACACACCATTATATGCATCACCGTTTTCAGAAAATTGTTATTGTATCCAAACCATGTACAAGTGAATAATTTTTTTCAACGGAAAAGAAAAAAGTGCGAGCCAAATGTGTTGATAAAATAATGTATCTATATAACTTGATAATTGAAGGATGTTTATTATTTCATTATTCGAGAACGAATGTGAGACTTCATTAAATTGTAACGCTGCCATACGAAAAATGTCCATTTTTTTATGCTGGTGTTACATTTCAATAAAATCTCAGTAGAAGACTCACATTCATTCTTGTGTTTTCATTTGTTTCACTTTGAATAGAAACACTACAATTATTTCCATTCAATAAATACGGACCGTTATTAAGAATTCGTTTTTTTTCTTGTTACTTTAAAAAACCATAGACGGCGTGATTATAAGAAAAACGCCTAGTTTTGCTGGATTGATAACAAAAATATATTCCGGCATCTTGACCGATTTCTCCACGCTCTATCCAAGCTTTTCCTTCACCAAAACCTGTGAAAGAAAAAAGTTCTTAGAAATCGGTGGCCTTTATTTGCCCTTTTTTGATATAATTGTTTTTCAAGGTGTAAGGAAATGTAAGTATACCTGTTTAATTTCTACCATTATATACGATACATGTACATTGACAATATCACAGAAGAAAATTTCGTCATCCCCATTATATTTTACGTAACCAAATCCACATTATAACTCATAATCACCTGTGCGAAAAAATAATTATACCGAATGTCAACTGTGTTAACAGTTGTGTGATTTCATGTCATTACTAACCTTCGACATGTTCATCAAGTGTATAGTTTCTTGTAAAATTTGTTGAAAGATTAAAAAACTTTGGATTCACACGCTAAAGCCTTCATTGTCACTAAAGCCTTCATTTGAACAGCCAATAATAGATACGAATAAAATTACTACAATAAAAATAATAAAAAATCTTGGAGCTACTCATTTCTGATACAATTCGTTGAAAGCTTTGTTTTTTAATACGCTGCAAAAAAGTATACATTTTTTTCTAATCTAATGGAGATTCTTATCATATCACAAGTCGCGAATAATTGATAAATATAATCTAAATTTATAAAATGGTGATCAATATTGACTTCCAAACGTCACCAAAATAGATATATCACGAAAACTACCAATATACCAAACAATTTTTTTTTTCGAAAATAACGGTGTGGATCATCTCTTCTCATCAATTTGCGTGGGTTAAAAACTCCGTGTGCAAGAAATTCTCACTTTTTCCATTATCGACACACCTTAATTTTACGAGAAGTCCTGAATTCATTAAACTAGACTGTTGCAGATTAGATTGCACAAACAATTCGCCATTTAGAACATCTTGTAGACTTTTCAATTTAACAGCACTATTTATAGACGTAACACTAGATCGATCATCATTTAGGAGTAAAGTTACAAGACTGTCGGACTCAGTTTTTGGTTCATTGTGCCTATAAACAAACAATATCTAGAATCTAACTATTCAATTCAATTTACCAATAAATCCAACCGAAATATATTTGACAAATTACGTAAATTTAATGCAACGTATGTGATACAAGACTACTAGAAAATAATCTATTCTAAATCTATCTATCTTTTTATTGAAACTATATATTTATTTATTTATTTATTTATCGAATTATTTAATTTACTCATTGAAAAATTTAAATTAAAATTATACTAGTCAAATTTAAATTATATTAAATACCTACACAATACAATCAAACTCTATAAAAACTGTATCTAATATTGTAAACTACATAGTCGGCTTATCAAAGTAGACTCAAAAATCAATAAATAATAATAATAATAATTATGTTTATCTCAATTACTCAGCTATTTTATAGTTGGACTATCTCACCGATTTGTGCATTTATAGTATTTTACAAAATACAAAGAAGCAAAAAAAATGTGTCTATAGATACCTTAATCAAAGTGCACATTCAATTCGTGAAAAATTTATTAAACTTTCTTAGAAATCTTCAATGTAAGATTATCACTAAAACAAGTAAAACCACACACTCCGATAAGACTTCCTTTGAATAATCAGGTCACATCTGGGTCAAATTCTGGCAAAAAAATTCTTGACATTTTCAGTGGATAAGGCAATAAAAAAAAATTTGGTAAATGCCACTCGTATGATGCCACTTATTAATGATGGGATTATTAAAAAAAATGAATTTCTAGTTGTTGCATTAGTGCTTTATTTAACAATAAATTCATAAAATTGTGTCAGTCTTTCGTACATTACTACCCAATATAATGCGCATCAACTGAAATCTATTTATAATCAAATTGGTTGTAACTAATACATTAATTTACACTCGTTTGAAGGTGAAATTGGGGTGAAATTATAACTAAATAATAATTGGGATTGTTCTATCAAAAAATATGCTTCGAGTAACGTAATATTGTTTTAAACTACTGACCACCAGATGTCACTTGATTCAATTAAAAATTGCGTCTTAAATCAAAAGGTGCAGCTATTGTTACTGTTATTATTTCATTCCATTACTTTGTTAAAATGATGTGAAAGCTGTTGAAGCGGTCGACCAGACAACGCATCGTGAAACAACAACAAAACAATGGTCAACATATTTTGATTGTATCTTAGCCACGCATTTTGTTTTGACTGGTTGCGAGCATTTAGAGAATGTACAAATTGAGACAATAACACGGCAATATTTGCACTCCATGAATAATAAACGTTAAGTATTAATAAAATACGCAAGGAATTGTTTGGCTAACGTAGTTCGATGAGATCATTTAAAATTGCTTCCCAACGAAATGTATATAATAAAAGTGATGTCGAACATGCAACATACCATCATCGTAACACGATTCGAAATATATTGCATGACCTAGAAATACATGTTCTTTCTTCCAAAAGAAGATTTAGTTTTTTTGTTTTAAAAATGCCAGTTTGACCATTGATCAAGGTCGTTTCTATTCACAAAAAAGAAAAAATAGTTTGCGTCAACAAAGATTCGCCGAAATCTTATTCGGATAATAAAATAGTATAAAATGATATCAGCGGAACGAATAATTTTTTTTTATTGAGATAATTTTATTTAAATTTGTCTATTGAATGACTGTCTTTTAAGAATCCAAAGGCTTGGATCGAATGCTGGAGTATTAACTGAAAAAATGTCTAAGATAAGATGATGTGATTGGTGTACAATAGCCGAGTTGAAACATATGATAGATGTTTGTATATATCCATTTAGATTCGTTGCATAACAAAAATTCGTTTAGTTGTCACGATCATACGATAGGCTGGCAATACAACTGTACGCCACTGAACATTTTGAGATGTGCATTTACACACAATTTTGTTTACAATTTCAATGTTCTCGTCGAAATGACAAAAATACCTCAAGAAATAAACACATTCTCAAATGAAAATTCGAAGAAGCGAATGTCCTACACCATTTGCGTTTTCGTTGATCTTGCAATAGCTCATAAATCGAGAGAAAAAAAAACGTTTTTCACAGTTTTCATCGGCAAGAAGAGACAAATATATTACGAAATCATGAAGCAGCACTATTGCTCGCACACAACAACTGCCGTTCTGAGCATGTATGCGCGTGTGTATGTGTGTTTACGTTGCACACAAGCCCAGCGATTCAATGTATTTACATGAAATATACGCATGACGAAACTCTTCTGTGTACACTTCTTGCTCAGGGCTCAGTTGGAATTTAAATATTTGAAACAAGAAAGTGTAGTCACTGCTAAGACATTTGACTGTTCAAACGTGTTCCCATTCCGGAAAAAATTCGAACGTTAAATTTTATTTTTGCAGTTAACAACGAATTTTACTGTATTTAATACGACAATTGTTCCAGTGTATCTCAACGGAAAATTTTATTTACATCATAATTAAGTGATTTTTCGCGTTAAAAAAAAAAATACCAAAAGTAAATAAAAAATAATTTAAAAATGGCACGTAGTGGATTTTTGGCAATTGCTGTTATCGCTGTTATTATGGCCGTCTCATTCCAAGAGGGTACGTGAATTTCAATTTGTGTTGTGTTTTTTTCTCAAATTCAAGTTTAACGACACATGTATCTGTTATAGTCGATGAAATTGAGATCCCAAAAGAAATCGAAAACAATTGTTCCATTAGTAAAAGAAAAAAAAATGTTCACCAAACGAAAACAAACGAAAGTTTGCAAAGAAAATAAAATTCCCCGTGTTCGACAAACGATTCAAACTCTTGTTTTTTTGCTTAATTTTTTTTTGAATCAAATATGTTTTGACATGAAAATTAAGAAATGTAAACAAATTTTTGCTATCGTGCGAACATACGGTTGGTTTTTGTGAATGGAATGTGTTTTGTCATCTTCGAAAATTTTTATTAATCCTGTTTAATATTTAAATGTATATATATAATTCGGTCACGAATGTGAGAAATGTAAATAAATATGCTTCATTGTCTGAATCGTCGGCTGATCTAAAAAGCAGAGAGAAGAGAATATCAAAAAATATAGGTTAATTGTGTGCCTTTTTTTTATCTAATAATAGAATGACTGTTCTGTCTATAAAAAGAAGAATATGCGAAATCGAATAAATTGCAGAGGGGCACATCATTCGTGCGTTTGTCATTTATGTGCATTTTTATATCAATAGATTGTGTGTTATCATATTCAGCTGATGTTGCAAGTTGTTTTTCTGGCTAATGCCGGAAAGAATGTTCTGTGAACCATTGTGATATGAACCACTGAGAGCAAGCAAAACAACAACATAAAACTGTAGTCTGATTGGCGCCATGCGCACACACTTTTCAATTAAATTTAAAGACCATTTAACCGTTAGGAAGTATACACTTGTTTGTATGAGTTTGGTGTTCCTGCTTGTTTATTTGGGTTCATATACCAAAAAAACAAAACCGAATTAATTTGAATCCAAAAAAAAATGCGGAGACCAGTAATTCATTTGCGTTCTTCGTATTTCAGACGTGATTGGACTGAGTTGAAAGCATAAGTATAAACATAGCACATGCATTGGTTGCTCCCCCCTGTTCAAACGACTTGGATGATTCGCGCTCAACATGCTAACACAAAGACTCGACCTCATTGTCGACACACATGAGCGATGACTATAAATAATGCTTAGATTTGGGGGGATAATATAATATTTTCGTCATAACACGCATTGATATACAATCTGAAAACTACTAGAGAAAAGTATGGAGAACTTATTTGCCTTCTTTCACCATAACACAGCGTTCATGACAATGGTTGAATAAAAACAAATACACATGGACAGTTAAATCGATGAGGATGGAAAACTTGTATATTTCAAAAGCCACAACTGTAAAAACTTGTGCGGCATTACTTTTCGAATGTCTTCTTTGAATGTTCACATTTTACGCGTTACAAGTTTCCCCAATTCATTTCTATCGACTCACACAAGAGTGAAGCGTTCTCTTCTAAGAATGTGGAAAAGTTTCGTCTCCAAAAAAATACAATGTATTGTTATATTTTGATTCCCGATTTGCTTGTGAAAGAGAGAAACAAACGAAAGTAGAACCATTTGATATCGTATATTGTCTTGCTCGATTTTCCCCTTCGCGTTTTGCGTGCCAGACTGGCGACACTGCACTACTTGTTCATATCAAATATGTCACAGACCTTTCGTGCAATCCATATCGACACAACTGTTTTGCCAATATTTTCGACTTGCGTTGTTTACAATTTTCGAATCTACTACTTCGCTTCTTCATCATCATTATTTGTGAAACTGGAAATAAATGAACAGCATCGATGAGGTGCTTCCTATTGATGCATTCAAAGTTATTTCTCGTGTTAATTTGACTTTGCTGATGAGTATACACTGTTAGCTGCTCGTTCGTTATAATTTGCACTGCTTCACGGACATTCTAAATTACGTCGTTAAATATAGCAAATATGAGCTCAAGTAACGAAAGATATGTATGTAAAATAACGCTTAGACACAAACTAATCATAGTTTTGTTATTTAATTTTTTCCATTCACAATTCATTTGGCTGAATTGACATCTATTCGCGATGCTCAACTATAATAATAAGCGCATATGCACATGACAAGCGCACACATTTGCCTTTCATCAATGTGAATTGAATTGGCCGAGTGTGTTGTTGATATATATATAGAGGTATATATTTCAGGAGTGAACATATTACGAGAAAAAGCAACGCTTACTCTTTATTTCAAATACTAATTAATGATCTTTGCCAAGCGTTGTTCTAGAAATGGGTGTGTGTATGTGTGTGTGTTGAACTGCCATACGAATGATAATTATTATTTCGACCGTCCGACCGAGAATTGCTTTGCACAAATTATATGGTCTTTCTAATTCAATAATTTAAAAAAAAAAAGTAGTCACAACACATATAGCAAATACAAAAATATCGACAAGATACTGACAAATAATCTGCTTGCTAAATATTGTCATCATGTTTATCTAGCTGTTCCTATGAATTTTGGTCTCGATTTTTTTTTTGTTTCATTCATTTAATCGCGACCAGCGATAAATTCACAACAAACATTCGTTGAAATGTAGAGGAAAATTTCGAAGTGATGTCGTTTAAATCAAGTTTCGCAATTTTGCTAAATATTCAACAATAGATTTATGTTGAAAATAAAGATAAACGATCACATATTTCCGCACATATTTCCGCACTTGCTAACACCTCAAACCAAATACAAAAAACACTCTGAAATTTAAATGTATTTCGACAGACGCTTTCTCAAGAACCATTTTTCATCGGTGTGATGTCATCGCCTCGAAAATATTTTTAAATCGTCAACAGACTCTGAGAATAGAGCGTGATGTTACGTGTGCGTACATCTCGAAATATTCCGTTCGCAATACCTTAACGTCTGTTCTACATCGAACATATGTGTTTCTACATCGAAACGGGATCGATGGTTGCCAATATCAGATTACAATGTCGATGCATTACACGAACAACGTGTGACGGTTAATATGCATATTCTATACCGAAACTATCGTATAACTGCACCTTTGTGTACAGTTTTCAATATCCTGTGAGATTTTCCATAAAGAAATATTGGCCAAGCGAATCTCACACGAAGCCCATCACATAGAAGTGGCCGATGATTTATACAGGTCTATCAAACAATATTAGATTCAATGCCAATATGAATTATTGTTTACATAAATTGTGGTAAATAAAGGACCATCATTATGGTTTATCGGAGAGTTATTACTAACAATGTATACATCAACATATTTAACAAGTAACTCAATCGTTATGAGTGAGGAAAATTAAAGTAACCTGAACGGTTTCCAGCTACTCGCGAAACCAGAATATTTACAAATGCTTTTAGTGTCCAACACGAAATCCTTTTCAACTTAAAAACGGATGTGAACAGGAAACGCATGTTATGGTATCTAAAGTTTTTTTTTGTTCATTAAAACAGAGTATGTCAGAATGTGCCCTATATCACTTTGTGTACACTGAAAACACATTTTGTTATCGTGCGAAATTTAAAAGGTTTGGTGCTATTGGTTTTGTGTGAATTAAGTGTAATCGATATGGCTCTATTCAAGCAGATTTGACCACAATGTAAGGTTGTGCTTTTTTTTGTGTTGGGATTCGTGTTTTTTTATCGCTCGCTTTTTTATGGGTGCGGCACGCCGAAGCTCAATGATTTTTTTTGTTCAGAAATCTAAATTGTAAACATTGTCGATGATTTAAAAAAAATTCGTGGCAGAAATAGATGGGGCAAAAATGTTACGATTGACCAAACCATAACAAAATCGATAGTTTTTTTTCTGTTGAAAATTATGAAATTCTCAGAAGGATGTATTCAACGCCCAACTGATTTATACGGAACTGTGATAACATCAGTACAAACTGTGATTAAAACAAACATTCAGCGAATGAAAGAAAAACTTGTTTGAAATTCTAATTAGATGCTCTTTTGTATGAAAATTATCGCAAATTTATTGTAATTTACTTTCTATAATCATATTATCGACGAGCCAATGTAGTCGAATAAATCAGAATCAGTACAAAGATTGCGTGAGATTGGCGTCATCGTTTGTAATTTCATGTCTATCAAGGAAACAAATTTAATGAATGGAAACCCATGATAAAATCTCAGAGTTTTTTTCTGTTTCCATGGCCTTCGCATTGGATTGAAGTCTTTCATCAAAGTCTCACCTTCATAGGCTTAATTCTAAAGAACAATGTGGCATAACTCAAAAAAAAAAAATATTTCGAAGTTTTCTTCTATTGTGTGTAGAACATACTCTACACACGCTTGTGTTAGTTAATGGCATATGTTAAATTGCCTACAAAGTGAGAGAGAGAGACTTTATCCATCTAATTCAAAGATTCATTAAAGATGGGAAAAATAGCTGAATGGAAAGCGCTACGCTAGTAGCTTGAATGTAAATAAATAATACCTACGCGACTATAACTACCGTAAATTTTGAATAGTACCGAGAAAAATGACATATTTTATGTGTCTTCGTGTTCTGAAAGCAAATTTGATCGAATAAAATTGATGTGTTTTTGCCTCTTTTTTTTCTTTTTTTGTTGAATTGATGATCGTTTCGTTGTTGCGATCAGATCAGAAAAATTACGAAAAAAAACGAGCAAACAAAAAGAACGCAGGTCTCTCACATACACACGATCGTTTTTTTTTTTTTTTTTTTCAATTTTTTTTTTCTGTCGTTTGTTTTGCTGCATTATTTCACGTTTTCAAAACGTAAAGCAACAGAAGAGAGTATAGAATATCCAACCTACTGCCTCACAAATACACGCAATGTGATTTGCGAATGACGAAAACAAAACACATTCGAAAACCGGTTTGCCGTGTAGTATACTCGAAACAACAATCACGTAATAAGTTGATTTGCATTTTGTTTTTATTTCGCGTATGTTCGAAAATATTTGTAATACTCGGTCGAGGTGGCTCTCTCGTCATACGCCGTATAAATGTTATGCAGACGGTGGTTGCACATGTGTGTGTGTATTTACACACTTTTCG